TTGTTGCCATTATTATTATTATATAAGTAAATCTGTTTTCCTAGGGTCCTTATACGGTTTCGTTTTTGTTCAGATATTTAGTTCATCGGAAATTTAATTTTTTGTGTGTCATGATATAGGGAATCTAACCTTTCTGGTTTTATAGACCATTTAAACATAGATGAGCAATTAAGCCTGGTGATTTGGTGATGGAACCAGGTTTTCACTCATATTTTATTGGGCCCACATGGGATTTTTAAATTTTAAATTATTTATCAATTATTCTTAAAATTAAGGGGATTTTATTTTAAGTTATTATTTCTAGCTTCTCTTAAAAAGCCGGAAGTTCTGGCAATAAATTCATACATGGTCATTATCAGAGCAGAATTATGCCTTTCTTCTGTCAGATATGGGTATGTGCTCTTCATTTAATCACAATCCCCCTCCATCCTTGCTTCATTGATTTATGCTTGTATGTGGATTTTCATTTGGGTTTTCAGTCTCTAATAGAACACTTTTTTCTCTACTGAAATGACACTTTTATCATAGATCATATTGCTATATATGCATAGATTTGTTTGTGGATTCTCTAGTCTTTCCATTTCTCTACTATTTCCATATTCTGTGGTTTTATAGTAGGTTTTGATACTCTTTGGGGCAGCTCTCCTGTCATTGTTCCTTTTAAAATTTTTCTTGGCTATATTTTTAGCACATTTATTCTTTTGGATGAAAAGTTATTCAAATTAAAAAATATATCTTATTGAGATGAACTGAAATTGGATTGGCTTTATGGATTAATATTTGGAGAACAACACCTTTACAATTTTGAATCATCCCATTCAGAAATATGTTTTTAATTTTATTTGGGTCTTATTTTATAGCCTTCAATAAAGTTTCTATATTTTTAGACTTAGCTCTTCCATATTTCTTGTTAGGATTATTTCCTAGGTGTTTTGTAACTTTTATTGTTATGTGAATGGGATCCAGGTGCCTTTCTGAAAACTATTTTGTTTTAGATCTCTCTTGTTCCAGTATGTAGCCGGATTTCTTTCAGTTCATTTTATTTCTTAGACTCAATTCGAGAGGCTTTGTCCTCTAAAAGGGGAATTAAATCATTCATGGACATTGAGACAAACTCATATTTCTGCTTTTATACCTGACATTTTTCTGCTTTCCATTTACATAGTTTCTTGTTCTTTTTCCTTTGGTTGTATTTACTTTTCCTGACATTTGCTAGGTTGGTCAAAGCTTCTTTGTCCTTTTTTTTTTTTAATCCTCAGGTGGTTAGGAAGTTCATCATCTTAATTCTTTCTGTTCTAATGATGACCCTTAAAAATGTTTTTTTAAATTAATATCAAGAAAGACTATACTTTCAGGTATCATTTCTATAGTTCATTACTAGAGAAGTTTCTCTGAATGTGTAGAGCACTGGAAACCACGAGGAGGAGGTGCAGCATTCTCTCCTGAGCGTGAAGCCCGCTTTTGGTTTTGCTTCACTGCAACTGCTATTTGTCATTGATGATCATTCTCTCTCTTTTTGGGGGAGTAAGTAAGAGGGAGAAGACACAGTCTGAGTGGTAAAAAACAAACAAACAACAAAAAAACCCTAATATAAAGACTTTATCAGTATCTGTAAACTCCGAATAATGTTAAGACATATATTACTTTTTTCAGTTCTCATCTTTCTGGGAATTGTTTAAGTCACTTTATGGTTTCCTCATTGTTAATGTAGCTTATGCTGCCAATCGTCAGATGGTAGTTAAGTTGTAAGAAGAATATGCTCTGCTATCAGTAATGATTCAGTGGAAGGGAATTAATTTTTCCATTAAAATGAAGCATTTAAATATAATAGAAGTGAAATAATGAAATGCACTATCTTGAACTAAACAAAACTTCTAAATAAACATCTGAAAGCATTATCAGGAGACCTATTTGTTAAAACTTGAAGTATGACCAGGGACAAAGATTTATGATGAAAATGGTATCTCATCTTTGTATTACTATTTATTAAATAGGCTAGACTTGATGGTGGTAAATAGGAAATTATTTTATTCTTTTTTTAACCATGCTGTTTGGGGTTTCCCTTTTCTCTCCTTGGATGATAAAAAAGGTAGAACTCTTCACTTCTGGGGAGAGGGTTATTGTCAAATAGTATACATATTAAGATATTTAAAATTCAGTCCAGGGGTCAATGACATTAAGGGATTACTGTTAATTTTCTTAGGTATGATAATGGTGTTATGATTTCATAGAATATGCCTACTTTTAAGAGATGCATGCTTCATTATTAGAAGGCGAAGAGTTATGATGTCTGCATTTTCTTCAGATGGTTCGGATAAAAATATAGATAGAGTGAACAAATATGGCAAAATGTTAACAATTATTGAATCTAGGTAGTCATTTTGATTATATGGTGTTTGCGATGGTTAATTTTGTGTCAACTTGAGTGGGCCACAGGGTGCCCAGATATCTGGTTAAACATTATTCTGGGTGTGTCTGGGAGGGTATTTCTGGATGAGATTAACATTTGAATTGGTAGCCTTAAGTAAAGCAGATTGTTCTCCCTAATGTGAGTAGGCTGCCTCATCTAAATCAGATGAAGTCCGGAATAGAACAAAAGGCTGAGTAACAGGGAACTCATCCTGCTTGACTGCCTTCCAGCTGGACATCAGTTTTTTCCTGCCTTCAAACTCAAACTGAAACATTAGCATTTCCAGGGTTTTTGGCCTGCCCACATTCAGATTGTACCTACACATCAGCTTTCCTGGGTCTTCAGTTGCTGACTACAGATCTTGGACTTGTCAGCCTCCATAATTGCATGAACAATTCCTTACAATAAATCTCCTTATATATAATATAATAATATAGATAGATATAGATACACATACATGCACACACAAACACTTTTAATTTTTGTGTTTTAAAATTTTCATAATGAAAAGTTGGAAGAAATCATTTCAAATCTCAATCAAAATGTCAATCCTTCATCCAGTTCAAAGCTTCTACCTTATGTCTACTGCAGCTCATGTCTGACCTGTACTTCTACAGACAAGCAGTGTGGCAAAGGGGTATGATCTGTTTATTCTCTTTGCTCAACCTTCTCTCCTAGTTTTCTGCTGCATTTGGCTTCTCCAGGATTGGCAGTGACAGGTAGATGGTGAGGATATAGAGAGGGTAGAATCTTTCTTGACTGGTGCCGGTATATTTTAGCACTGGTGCCCTTTGTGTAGCTGATGACTAAATACTGCCTCTGTTTCTCTTTCATGGCATACTTGTGTAAGTGTGTTTAGTTATTCCTTTCCCACCAGCTAGGGACCTTGGCAATGTACCATTCATTTTCCAGCTGACCTTTTATGAATCCCTCCCCTCCTTCTGTGATACAGTGATATTTCCCTGAGGTCCTCCAGCCATAGGCAGTTAGTTTTCATGAAAGCAAAGTTTGACTCTCTTCCAAAGTGTCCACTTGGCCACAGGGTATATTTTTACCCTACTACAATGTAAAAAGGCAGGCTTCTCTTGTTGCTGCCCCCTCTCATTGCTCTATTCCATCTTTATGCTTATAAATATGAGTTCATTTTTGCTGTGTAACAAACCCATCATAAAACTTAGTGACTTAAAATAATAACCCTTTAATATTGTGCTTGGACAACTGGGCAGTTCTATTGATACTGGCTGGACTCCCCCATGTATCAACCATGAGATACAAATCAGTTAAGTGGCATTGCTTCTGTTATCCGTGCATATTGCCTCACCGTGATGGGGATGACTGGCCATATATCTATCATTATCTACCAGTCCTGCCTGGACTTGGCCATGTGGTAGCAGCAGGGTGCAAGCAGAGCAAACATGATCAAGGCCTCTTGAGACCTGGGCTGTGAACTGGCATGATGTTCCTTCCAGAGCATTCTGTATGCCAAAGCAAGGCCCAACACCAGCTCAGATTCAAGGGTTTGAAAATAGACTGCACTTCTTGATGGGAGAACCTCAGTGTCAGTACCACAAAGGCATGAATATATAAGGAAGAGAAATAATTATGGCCATTTTTGCAAATAATATGCTACAAAGTATGGACACAAACTGCTAGATGTACATGTAATCCCACTTGATTCACTACTCTTGGAGATTGGCCTGTGATCTTCTGAAGCTCAGGTGGTATTAGCTCCCTGATCTCTTTCAGGAGTTCCCCTGCCACCTTCCTTACTTTGGTGTGAGGCAGGGAGAAAAGGAGGATTTCATTAATAATTTAGTGGAGGAGAATTAATTATTTTTTCCATTAGAATGGTATTCATAGATGAGTTTAAATGTAATAGAGGTGAGATATTGAAATACACTCTCCTAAACTAAAGCAGCAACAGAAGACTTTATAAATAAACACTGGAAGTCAAATTCTCAGAAGACCTGTTCGTTGTAGCTTTCTATGGGGAGAAAAGAAAAAAACAACAAAGCACTTTCTACTCACTAGTTCTGTACATTGCTTTAAATGACACTCTTCCTGATGAGTCCTGTCTCATGAATCTCTAACACTTTCTAGGCTGGTTACTATCTAAAATCAGTTCGATCATCTCTTACTGAGACCTGCATGATGTGTCCAGGACTTCTCTTTAAAATGTGTGGGACTTTATTATTCATTGTCCTCACTTTGAACTTCAACTATAAAGCTATGAACAACAGGAAAAGCCTCTTTTAACATCCTGTTTAGCTTAAATATGACGAGGCAGAAATAGGGACATCCAAGTCTAATTCATTTTAGTTTTTCTGCAAAAGTTTTTAGTAGAACTTACATGTTTAACCATGTTAATAAAATGGATATATTTTCTATCTCTTCATGTTTTAAATCCTCTTGGAACTGAGCTTATTACCAAAAAATTACAAGTGTCAATTTTAGGTATTAAGATCTTCTTAACACCTAGAATTATTAACTCTGAAATGATGTTACACTGATATATAAAGCATTCCTTTAACATATATCACTTTGTAGGAGTACGATAAACATTTTGACTAAATACATGTCTGTTTTTTAAAGGTGCTGTGTAGCATCAATTCAATTATTCACAATCCAAGAGCTCCAGTAATAATTTATAAACAGAGCAAAGGAGGAGCCCAAAATTTTAATAAAGATCTTATTCAAGATTGTGGATTTGAGCATCTTGTTCCTATAATAGAAATGTGGGCAGATCAACTGACATCCCTAAAGGTAAGGGGTTGACTCTTATTTGTATGCTTTGAACATCTATTGGACTCCATTGGCTTTATTAGTAGGATTTGGCTTAATTTTTTTGTTTTTGTTAACTGTAAAGCCAAAAAAGCTTATCAGCTTATCTAAAACTGGAATCTTCCTACTTATCTATTTTAAGTACTATTTGATGTTATCATTACTGTAAACTTTATCTCCTCTAAAGTTTTACCAAACAAGAAATTTTTAGGCCCATTCCTTTATTGAAAATCTACCGTGGATGCACTTTGTACATCTAGGCCCTTCCCTGTTCTATCTTCATCTCCCTCCTGTTGGTATGTCCATGCTACAGATTTTCCTGGCCCTTATTCCTCTTCACATAATGTCTTATCCTTCATTTCATTATAATTGGATATATTTTCTATCTCTTCATATTTTAAATCATTTTCCTTCTCTTGGAACTGAGCTTATCTCCGTGTCTATTCTCTAGAGCAAGTAAATAGTCAGCTAGCAGCCATCCCTACTCTTACCTATCTTATCTGTCCATGGAAGATTAAAATTTGTTCCCTCTATAGAGTTATTGTATATTTCTTATTGCATAGTTTCTGGTTTTTTCAGGGTTTTTTTTTTTTTTTTTTTTACTAGTTTACTGAAAGGTAAATTGCTAAAGACAGTAGTATTTAATTTCCGTGCCCTTTAAACTTTAGATTTTCCAGTGACTGGTGTCATACATAGCACTAGCTATGTTAATGGAGATGTGATTCAATAATAGTATTTGTCAACAGAAACCTTATTATATGAAATAGAAATGATGCAGAAGATATTTGTTAAAAATATGTAAGCTCCATGAGGACAGAGTTTTGTCTTATTTTTCTCTGATATGTCCCAAGGATCCTCTTGATATAATGAATGCTCAATTAATGAATGAAGCAGGGTAATATATTCCAAGACAAAATGGGGGGGGGTGAGAATGTTAAATTTTTAAAAAATTTTAATGAAAACATACCTGTAACTGATGAAAAATTTTTGTATTCAGCTTAATTTCTACTTCCCTTTTTATATAGGGCTCAGACAGCAAATATATATACAGATTTGCATATATAGAGCTATATAATACATAAACATTTTGACTGAGTGACAGTGCTGGATTAATATACGTACTTTATAGGCCTGAGTTCCTCCAGTCTATATCTCAGAAAAGGGTAAAATAATCAGTGATTAATTGTATAAATCACGACATTTCCCCAATCATTGCTTGTCAGGGGGTTCTCCCAGTGGGAGGGAACAGTGCTAACTCCACTTTTCTCCTTCTCAGAAAAGATGGACTAGAAAAAGCTCTAGCTTTCTCAACAGAAGAGAAAAGACTAGAAGAGGAGGAAGGCAAAGGGAAGAATCAAATTAATGGATAGTTATTGATTGTTTACTATGTTCAAAGCATTATGAGGTATCAGAAAAGGTAAATACAGGATTCAGACTAATTGGAGAGACAAAATATACTCAAAAATATGAAATAAAATTTAAAGGATCATTCATGATATCATTAGAAGAATTGAATGCCATAAAAATAGATCACCCGTGATGAGTTCGAAGAGAATGATGCAGATAACTTGTGCTCTAGTATCTGGAGGAGGAAGAGATCACTCTGATTATAGCCCCCAAGTAGAGCTTTGCAGTGGTGCTGAGTTCTTGCTGTATTTAGTTTTCCAAGTAGAAGAAGGCAAGGAATTAGCTTTATATAATAATTAGAATATTCTGAGGACACCCAAGAAGAAATTATTTCAAATTAGTTATTTCTGCCATTGAAGTAACTCATGTATTTGGGGCAGTGCTTCAGATATTTATACTATAGTTTCAGTCTCCAAATTGAGAAACTACATGAGATTCTTTGAGGCGTCATATCAAAGGTTCTTTATAAGGTAGCAGCCTCTAAGTTTGAGACAACCATCTTCCTAGATCATTTTCCCCCCCTCAGGTTAGATTGGCTTAAAAGGATAGGTTTGAGGGATGAATGAGTAAGCAAAATGTGGTATAAACATATAATGGAATACTATTCAGCCATGAAAAGGAGGAAATTCTGACCCATACAGCATGGGTGAACATTATGAGGACATTATGGTAAGTAAAATAAGTCAGTCACAAAATGGCAAATACCATGATACCACTTATATGAGTTACTTAGAATAGTATAAATCATAGAGGGAAAGTATTATGGTGGTTGCTGGTAGGGGGAAGGAATGGGAAGTTACTGTTTAATGGGTATAGAGCTTCAGTTTTATAAGATGGAAATAGTTATGGAGATATGGATGTTGGTAATGGTTGCACAACATTTTGAACATATTTAATAACATTGAACTTTCAATGAAAAATGGTTAAGATGGTAAATTTTATGTATGTGTATTTTACTACAATTAAAAAAAAAATTGAAAAAGAGAGAGGGTTGGCAAAGGCATGGAGGCAGTTAGCTGCCTCCTTCCTTCTGTCTTTTCCCTCCTGCCTTTCCAAGAAAGGTGAGCTATAGATGCTGTAGCTTTTCCCAACCCAGTACCCTGTTGCTTTCCCATTTCTCAGTGCTCCAGAGGTCAGACATACAGGTGGCCCATACTTCTACATCCCCACAACTGGGTATGAAGAACCTAGGAGAACCTCTTATATTTTTCAGAGCTTACTGGATGGACTGTGCCACACTGCTGAGGAGACCAGATCATCTTTTCTTCTTAGCTTTATAATACTCATTTATTCTCAAGCAAAAACTTGTAAGATTGGGTGTGCCTTTAACCATAGACCACTTCTTTATAAATATGCCTTGTTGATGGAGCATTGGTTAAAAAAGGTGTCATCATGCTGCTACTTGCTGACTTTTTTTCCAAATTCTAGTGGCACTGATTATAAAACATTCATTTGCCATGAATTGCTAAAAGAAGTAACTGCCTTCCAACCAAATGAAAGGTTAAAGATAGCAATATGTGAGTTGTGGGCCTTAATTGGGGAGTGTTAAATAAGTGGAGGACTAACATAAGTAGTTAGAAAAAGGAGGAAATTCTTGTACTTCTTTCGGTATTCTAAAGCTGTGCTGTCTAATATAGTAGTCACTAGCTACATGTGGCTATTAATCACTTGAAATGTGGCTAGTCCCAAATGAGTTGTGCTGTAAGTGTAAAATATTGGCTTTACACCTTGCGGTCCCCAACCCCCCGGCCACAGCCCATAACCAGTCTGTGGCCTGTTAGGAAATGGGCCTGAGCTCTGCACCCCACCCCGCAATCCCCAGTCCGTGGAAAAATGGTCTTTCATGAAACCGGCCCCTGGTGCCAAAAAGGTTGGGGACTGCTGCTTTAGAAGACTTACTATGGAAAAAATTAAAATATTGATTATATATTGAAATGATAATATTTTGGATATATATTAAGTAAAATACATTAATGTCACCTGTTTATTTTTACTTTCCATATTTTGGCTACTAGACAACTAAAAATTACCAAGGCTCACATTACATTTCTTTCGGATGGCATTGTTCTAAAGGGCCAAGCACTGTATCATGCACATACAGGTTGAATATCCCTTACCCAAAATGCTTGGCACCAGAAGTGTTTCAATTTTGGATTCTTTGGGGTTTTAGGATATTTGCAGAATATATACTGGTTAAGCATCCCTAATTTGAAAATCCAAAATGCTCCAATGAGCATTTCTTTTGAGTGTCATGTCAGTGTTCAGAGTTTCAGATTTTGGAGCATTTCAGATTTTCAGATTAGAGATGCTCAACCTGTAGTAGATGCTTAGTAAATATATGTTGATTGATCAGTTTTAGAGCTCTAAATTTTTAGTAGCCTTGCCCCTCATGCACAGCTTAAAATAGAGCAACATGTCTAGGCCAAGAAAACTAAGTAGGGTGTTATGAAGATAAAGTAGAATTAATTTAGGGATCCTTTCACATTAAAAACCTGCCTGGAGCCAGGCATGGTGGCTGGCACCTATAGTTCCAGCTACTCAGGAAGCTGAGGCGGGAGGATCACTTGAGCCTAGGAGTTCAAGTCTAGCCTGGGCAACATAGCAGACATGGTCTCCTTAAAACACAAACAAACAAACAAACAAAAACTGCCTGGAGACACATGTTACAACATGGATGAATCTCAAACATTACGCTAAGTAAAAGAAGCCAGTCACAAAATGCCAGTTATTATATAACTGTGTTTATGTGAAATGTCCACAATAGGCAAATCCATAGAAACAAAGTATATTAGTGGGACCTGCAGGGAGGGGAGAAGGAGGAAGGACTGTGAGTGGGATTTCTTTTTGGGGTGATGAATATATTCTGAAATTAGATAGTGGTGATGTTTGCACATCTCTGTGAAAATATTAAAACTACTGAACTGTATATTTAATGAGGGTAAATTTTATAGTATGTGAATTACATCTCAACAAAGCTGTTATAAAAAATTCAAAACCAAAATATAAGGACAGGCTGGACATGGTGGCTCACGCCTATAATCCTAGTACACTGGGAGGCCAAGGCGGGAGGATCGTTTGAGCTCAGGAGTTCAAGACCAGTCTGAGCAAGAGCGAGACCTCATCTCTACTAAAAAAAAAATAGAAATTAGCTGGACAACTAAAAATATATAAAAAAAATTAGCCGCATGGTGGCACATGCCTGTAGTCCCAGCTACTCGAGAGGCTGAGGCAGTAGGATTGCTTAAGCCCAGGAGTTTGAGGTTGTTGGGAGCTAGGATGCCATGGCACTCTAGCCCGAGCAACAGAGTGAGACTCTGTCTCAAAAAAAAAAAAATGACAAACTTTATATGTCAATGATTCAAAGTACTTAAAAAACATATAAAAATAATAAAATTACTTAGCAAATATTCAGAATAATCAATATATACTTTTTTTTCTAGGGCCTACATTTATCTGGAGAAACCTAATTTTAACAGGCTTGCTCTAAATTAGTAACAGTATTTTTTTAAAAAATACTGATGATAGTTACATATATATATATATTTTAACCTACCTGGATAATTATGCTTTATTTACTGTTACTGTAGAAACTTTATTTAATCAATAATACCTTTTGTTATAAAGGATTTGTATAAGTCCTTGAAAATACTATCTGCAGAACTGGTGCCTTGGCATAATTTAAAGAAGCAGGATGAAAATGAAGGTATCAAAGTTGAAGATTTGTTGTTTATAGTAGATACCATGTTGGAAGAAGTTGAAAATAAGGAAAAGGTAATATTTAGTACTTATACAAATGTTTATATTTTAATGTATTCTTATCTTAAAAATTGATAAATTTTTTCCCTTTGGAATCTTTGCAGCCAAAAAATTGATAATTTGAAATATATGTTAATATTCCACTAGAGTTCTATTTCTCTTTTTGAAGTTTTTTAACTAAAGATTTGGGATTATTTTAAGATGTGAACTATCTTTCTTTTTTACCTTCTCTTTTGAACAGGACAGCAATATGCCAAACTTTAAAACATTGCAAGCTATTGTCTCTCACTTCCAGAAATTATTTGATGTGCCTTCTTTAAATGGAGTCTATCCCCGAATGAATGAAGTTTATACTAGACTTGGAGAAATGAACAATGCTGTGAGAAACCTCCAAGAACTCTTAGAATTAGGTGATGACTCTTTGTCATTTTTGGCCTCCATTTAAGAATTATTCCTAATGAATTAACAAAAAGAAGGTAAAAAAAAAATTTTAGGTAAAAACAAGTGAGGATAACTGAAGCATAAAATGTTTGATGGATATAACGATTCTGGAAATTCTCTGTTAAAATATCCTTTCCTTTTATTTCTCTTTCGCAGATAGTTCATCCTCGTTGTGTGTGCTGGTAAGCACAGTTGGAAAATTGTGTAGGCTGATTAATGAGGATGTGAATGAGCAGGTTAAGCAGGTATTAGGACCTGAAGACCTCCAAAGGTATTTGTATGGACAGTTTACAAAATATCATCCAGAAACTGCTGGGTACAGTGGTGCGTGCCTGTAATCCCAGCTACTTGGGAGGCTGAGGCAGGAGGATCACTTGTGCCCCAGGAGTTCAAGTCCAGCCTGGGCAACATAGTGAGACCCTGTCTCTTAAAAAAAAAAAAAAAAAAAAAAAGAATCATCCAGAATACTTGGAGGAGTGAAATTAAAGACTTTCAAAACTTCATAAATTATTTACCTTTCCTATTTCAATTAGCACCTTTTAAATAACTTGACAACTAAAATCTCACACCCTTAGGGATGGAAAAATACCGAGTATTTTCGAGATAAACATAGAGGGTCACGAATGCTTCAGCATATGCCTCTTCTCAGGGAAAATTATATATGGAGAAATTCACACCTTGTTAGCAGTTTCCTGGGAGTTCAAATTGTGTCAAGAAGTCCTATTTTTACGACACTACCATGGACCACTGAATAATCACTAATAGTATATTTATTAATTATTTGATTAGGAGATAAATGTTAAGTATTTTTAAAAAGACTAGGCATCTCTAACATAAAACCTGAGGTTTTTAATAAATATTGAGACATCGTAGCTATACCTAAAGCAACTTTCCCCACCCTGTCCCCCAATTTTATGCTACAGTGTACAGGAAGGGAAACATATATGTAAACACACATATTCCATGTGTTCTGCAAGTTTTCCAAAAAGAACCCTTGCATAATCTGACACTTCAGTCTTCTGATATTTGATGCTTTTAAAAGGAACATATATCTCACTATTGCTCTATTTTCCCCTTCTCAGTTTTACTGACTACTGATACTTTTTCTTACTGTTTAATAGGGTATTGGGTATAAAAGCCAATTATTTTTAGAACGCTATAAAAACATGGTGTCTCTAAGAAGCCTTGAGCTAAATGGGAAGTTTGCCATGTTAGGAATGTTACATAAATTAACAAATTTTACACTAATAATTTATGAGATGCCTTTTTTAGAAAAAATATTAAAGAGCTCAAAAAAGGAAGGATTGAAGTAAGTGATCATTGAGTTTATATTTAAATTAGCAAGATAGTTTCTTTTCATTTTAAAAATGTTATATTCATAACCACCTATTTGCAGTAAGATGCAAGAACCCTAAATTGGAAATTAGGTGTAAACTGTGTATTTTTTAAACAGCATTATCAACAAATTGGAAGAACATGAGGAATTTTTCCCAGCATTTCAGGCATTTACTTATGATCTACTTGAAATCTTAGGTAAGATCTCTGTTGGTGGTTAAATTTTGAGTTTTAAAATGTCAGTGGGTTTGAGAGAAGTGTGTTCCTTATTCACTGGATTAGTATTTTTACCTAGAGTGTTTGATAGACACTCTGGAAACCACTAACAGTTCTGGAAACACACTCCTAACTTGCAGTTGGGTTTGTTGGCATTAGTCCACAGAAAAGAGAAGCACAGACCCTTAAAGGAAATAGGGACTCTCTTTGAGGATCTTACCATGAGAAATGGTGTTACTCTGGCTATACCCAGTTTAACCCTGACTCTGTCATCCCCTAATGAGAAATCTTGGTAGAATTTATGATCTTAGAAGGTTCTTCCTTCCTTCCTTCCTTTTTCCCCCGTTTTTTTAAGCTATCACCTACCTACCATGTTTTTTAAATATAGAAATAAAATTTCTTCTCAGGTGATATGAAGTAATATAAAGTAGTAAATATCTATAGAAAGGAAGAACTTAAGTATTACACTAAATACTATTGGTCATACTGAGGGCCTCATTAGTAGAAGTACCTCCTAAAAGGAAAAAATAAAAAAATGTAATTTGCTTAGGAATCATAGACAAAATAGAGACTCTGTCTATTTTAAATGTAATTATATATGGCTATAAAATTAATTTACCTTACTATTAAGAACAGTTTTTAAAATTTAAAGTGATTCCTTCAGTAATTAATTCTTTTTTTATGTATAGCTCCTTTGAAAATTTTTTTTTATAAAAGAAATGACTCCTTGATTTAGAAGAGGAAATGAGGCTTGGTAGGAAGATAAGGGAATGAGTAAATTAAAACTTGGTAAGAGGATGAATAAATGAAAGAAATATCTGATTAGAACATATAGTGTAGTGAACATAAAGGAAGTTTTGTGGCTAGTTTTATGTGGACTGTGGACTAAAGAAGCAAGGGAGACAGTGAGTGAGTGTGCCTCAGGCATGCTTGTATGTTTGAAAAGATCATAGCAAGTGAAGATATAATTTGGTAGTTAAACTTGAGATGAGGTATGACATTGTATAAGTATGTTGCCCGGTGTCCTGGTTTTATAGAAGAGCCTGATTTTATAGAATAATGTGATTCTACTTGCTTTGGGTTGGCTATTAAACAGTGACATTCTTGTCATTAATAAATATTTGGTACATTAATAAACATCTTCCTATGTGTGCTGGCAAAACTTATTTCAGAATGCTTCTATAGAAAATTCTCAGATATTAGGACACTCAGCATGGTTGATATAAGATAATTTGCTTTAGAAAGCCGTTTCCCTGCAGATGAATTCTGTATTTTGGTCAAAGTTGAAATTCTGAGGTTAAATATTATATTTAACATGAGGAAAGTTAAATATTTGACAAACATGACTTTTTTTATTACTAGATATCATTAGGCATCTAGACACAGAGTGGTATACTGAATACCAGATATGTAGACAGCCTTTAGTGATAATTGTGATTTTTAAAAAAAATTCCTTTCTTTTCCTCATATAATTGGTGTGATTGGCTGAGAAAATTCCTCCATCAGCCAAGGTCCTTCTTTGTGGGGTTCGTTTATAAGGTAGGTTTCTCATTTAGTGAGAAAATAGGTAGGATTTCAGAAGGGGGGGGTGGTCAGGGAATAACTTGATCTTGTACCTTATAGCAATGTAAGGGATGAACCAAATTCTCCATTGTAGCTTGCTTATATCATTTCCTTTCCTATGTCTTGATGCTTTGTAAGTGGGTCCAGACAAGCATTCTGACTGAAGTTAGGAGTTTGAAGAACTAAATGAGTAGTGGGACAGCATGGGTCATGTGTTTAGGGTGAAAGGGAGAACAAACAAAATCCAGGTAAAGAAGAGAGAGAGTTAAACTCCAAGGAAGCATGTTTTATGTAAAGGAAATGAGTTTATGAATAATGCCCTGGCAGAATAATCTAGAAAAAAGTAGTGGGCATCTAGAACACCTGCCATTGGGGCTCACCTTAAGTAGGGCCAGGGTCTGGATAATGAGAGAAAGGACTTTGCTTTGTCAGTGTCCAAGAACTTTAGAGAGTGAATTCTGAATGAGGCTAGTTGGAATAAGATAGTCTTAGGAAGTAAAATCAAATTCAGAAAGAACCTGTCAGAGAAGAACCTTACCTGGTTTATCTGGTAAGCTGGACCAGGCTAAGCTCTATACTACGTTGCACTTAATGTTTGTACTTGAGGAGCCTCTCACCTTTTATTAGGCAGACACCTCTCATCCTAAAAAGTAAACCTAAGAGTGATCCCACTAATGGTAAATCTTCCCAAGAGCAAGACTATGTTCTATAAGAAGTAATTACTAAGTCCTCAGATGGAGACCCAGAGAAGAGACATGTCTACCTGTAATTTCACCATGTAGGCACACTCATGTAGTCGTACAGATGTAAAGAGCACTAACGTATAAATGTAGCCAGTTGGATCTGTTAATAAGAGTACACTGCTAATGAGGTAATACCAGAGTCAGAGGGTACTTGTAGGCATATGGTAGCTTTTATAAAGAGATGCCTGTGAATCATCTGTATCTGAATCAGTGATAATCTATCACCACTATTGGAGAAAAACTTCATGTGCATACGAGCACCAGTATTGTTGCCTTTATGTTTGAGGTTTGCCTTTGCATTGAGGTTCTCATTTCAGCTGAGCTTATCACTAGAAAAAGTTATTTTTTTTATTCTTGTTTTTCTGTTACAGAAATTGATGACTTGGATGCCATTGTACCTGCAGTAAAGAAATTAAAAGTACTTTCATACTGAAAACATACCAAATCATTTTTACTGTGTAAATTGCATTCTTAACATTTTGTATTTTGTAGAATTGATCTTATTTTGAGACAAGGGCTATAAAGTGTATTTGCTCTCAGAATTCATCCCCTTCTTAGTATTGGGTAATTCTCCATCTATATAATTTTTTATTAACTTTAAGATTCTTATACGGAAAATAGTTGCTAAGTTAAAATAGTAAATCAATTTAGGTCCCTTAATCATTTCTTAAGCAATTCTTGAGTACTTAAAATTTAAGGTTGTTTTAAAGTAAAATTTGTGAGTAAAAGAGGAACCCAAGTAAGTTCAGGGTTTAGTGACCTTTGGGTCAGGGCAAAAGGCTTGCCAATGGCTAAGTCCAGGCACTAGGAAGCTACTGCTCTCCTAGCAAGAATTAATTGGCATATTCTATTTAGATATCCCTCATGGCAACTGCCCTTTCAAAGCAGGAGGAAGAAAAGGAAGAAAGAAAAAATGTTTTATCATTTATGTTAGGGTAGGAAATGAATCATGGGATAAAATAGATGAATAGATGAGTAGTCCTCATAAAAAAAGTGTCTTTTTTGCAATCTTGATGTAATGCACTTTTTATAAGGACATGAGATCTTAAATAAAATTTTGTAAAGAATTTCCAAACTTAAGTGTCCTCAGTGACTTATTTGTACTACTTGCAAATAATGAGTCATATTCTCTTCCTAGGATGAACCTTCCTTGGGCAATAGGTTCATCCTTGCTGCATTTTACATAAGAATACTTGCTGCCTTCTACTTGTTCTCTATTCCCAATATTCACTCAGATTTTCTTAAGGGACCAGTGTTCTTCCTCATATCCATGAGTAAAAGCTACTTTGAAGACTTCTCAGTCATTCTTATTAGTTGGCATATAGAATATTGTAAAGCATTTCCAGAAAGCGGCTTGGTGAAATAGAGAGTAAATGGCAGTAGACAAGCATCCAGATCATCCTTGATGTTGTGACCTTAGGCTTAGGGATCAGACATAAGATAATAGGTTCCTTCTAGACTTAAAATTCTTTGTTTTGTCAACATGTCATTACATTTCTACACACTTCCTGCAATTTGTGGAAGAACCTGTGATTTCAGGGTTGGGTAGAAAAAGTATTTGGATATTTAATAATGTAAATACTCTGAATTGATTAAATCATTCCAAGAAATCGTTATGAGATAGTTTGGAAGTCTAACAATATTTGAAAGGAAGAAAGGTAATTAAAAAATCATTTTAATCTAAATTTTGTCAGCTAGTTTAAGAGCCTGTAGTTAACTCTTATCTTAAAGCAGAAGTTTTCAAACTCTTCTTCAGAGGCCTACGGGTTTTTTGGAGGTGCCTCATGGGCCACTGAGGATAGTGCCGCTAATATGAATAGCTTTAGGCCCTCCCTACCTTATCCACTTTTATCCAATTTTAATTATTTAAAATATCAGAAAAGTACTACAATTATTATTTAGCAACATTTAAATATAAATATTTGAAATATTAGAATGTTGATTTTAAAAAATTAATGTATTCTTGACATATAAACTGTACATATTTATGGTATACAATTTGGTAAGTTCTGATATACATAAACACCTATAAAACCATCACCACAATCTAAATAATAGATATATATACTCATCACTCCAAAAGTTTTCTCTTTGCCTCTGGTAATCTTTCCCCACCTTCTCCCATCCCTAGGCAACAGTTGACCTGCTTTCCATCATTATAGATTAGTTTGCATTTTATAGAATTTTATATAAATGGAATCATATAATATGTTCTCTTTTTTGTCTGGCATCTTTCAGCATAATTATTTTGAGAGTTTTGCATGTTGCATGTATTAAGAGTTAATTCATTTTTATTACTGTGTAGTATGCTATTTTATGAATGTGCCCCCAATTTATCCATTCACCTGTTGATGGAAATCTGGGTTATTTCCAATTTTTGACTACTACAAATAAAACTGTTATGAACATTCATGTTCAGATCTTTGTATGAACATACACTTGATATCCAATGTCTTGAAACTTCTTGTTTCATGTATTGTTTTTTGTTTTGATTTTGGCTTTGGTTGGTATCGGCAGAAGGGTAAGTTTGGTTTCTGTTACTCCATCCTGGCTAAAAGTGGAAGTATAGAAGTGTGATTTTTAAGTCTGAAAATATTAGGGT